GTGCTTGTGCTGGCTATAATCGAAGAGGCACTGATGTCATCATTGCTAGTGGCTGCGGCATTGCTGCTTATGGGTGTGGTAACATTGGGAGACAATTGGCAACTTTGTTCTGGCCCTGCATTAGAAGTGGTCAGCGAAGAAGATAGATCGGGTGTCTCGATTGGATTATCTGATTTTGCGGATTCAGAGGCAACCAAGATAGTCGCTAAGCAAAGAATAAAATAGAGCGATAAAAAAACATGCCAAAAAAAATTAAGTACAGAAAAAGTGATCAGTGATATGCCAGAAAAGTTTCCATAAAAACAAGCCGCCTATTTTTGAACTGACCATTAAAATAATAAAATAAATAAATTTTAGTTTTAATAGTACTGAAAAAATCAAACACTAGCGCATTTAATCCAATTAACTATATAAAAATCCCATCAACACAATATGCTATCATCATAGTACATTAGTTATATGGTAGTCTCGAAATTCTACTTATATACGATTAATAGTACATTAGTGTTTACTCGACTTTTTTATCCCATATGCTCGGTTATATTAAGCGAGTAAAGGTCAAAAAAAGGAGAGATAAAAGAAATATGTAGTAAGAATAAAAAATGAGTAATTAACAATAGATTCAAAACCCTACCACCAGAAGATGGAGAATTTTTATGCTCTGATGAATCGAGACCGCTGTCACCAGGACGACTTTGACTTGAATTTGAATCCATGCTATGAAAATAAATTAAAATAAAGCAGATGAAGTAGCAATCCGTAGTAAGAAGCTAAAAAGGTATGGCATGCGCAAGACATATCAAACTTTTTAGTTGGATAGGAGCAAGAATTTATCAAATCTGCAAAGACTAAAAAGCCATAATTCTAGGATAAGGATAAAGAAAACATTGGAATGATATGAAGTAGTTAATCAAATTTCAAGCTTATATTTTTTGGCGATCGTTAAGTAGTTCACTATTTTTATATTCTTCAGAAAAAAGATATGATTAAATATAATGACATTAGTCAGCTAAGTAGCTTTCCCAGCCAAATATAAAGGTAAGATTCCCTAAGCTGAATAGTCGATTTTAGGCCTGCTGTTAACTAATTTTAAAAAATAGTGTAAAGGTAAAATTACGGCACCACACCGATTGAATGGATGAATGATACTAGGTAGTAATGACAAGGACTACCCATTGGTCATGTGCGTCGTTAATAAATAACATCTATAATAGTAATAGGTAGAGAAGATCAAGTCACTACATTGGATATATTTTGTTAGGATATTGTGGTTCTCTATAAATGATGGACATAATTTTAGAATAATCTATAAAATAAAGGCTAGAATAAAGTGATGGTGCAAGGTAAGTGACATCAAACGAGTTTAGCCACAAATTGGTATAATAAGATTGAGGACTGTAGCATGACAAATAATAACAAAGCGAAAAATTTGATTTTTTTAGAAGTGGGTTGACCTCGTTGTCGCAACTTGGTCTTGTTGTCAGGGTGACTATGTAGAACGCACCTAGTCCGAAGTCGTAGGCCATAGTAGTTGTCATGATATTCAGCATCTGACAGTGGACTTAATACATTCTCAAACGTTTCGCCGGCATCGTAGTCGGCATCAGTGAGCTTTGCCATTCTCCGCACCAAGCAACGAATTCGTCGAAGAGACAAGTGAAGTCAATGCCTCGACAACCGTTAGGCCGAAAACGGTTACACTATCACTCCTCTTTCTGTCATTTCCTATCTATCTCCTCTTTACACTCTTATCCCACTGCCGCCCTATCACAACTTTTCACTTGTTTACATTCCACTCGTCAAAATGTGTGCCCTTTTGTGGCAAACCTAGTGCGTCCATTTTGAATAAACCAGTACAACTTTGGGGCCCTGGCAGTCAGGTAGCTATGCAGATGGACGAGCAAACCTTTATAGAAATTAGACTTTCTGGCCAAAACGCACTAGAAATCCACTTGAGATGCCGCATGCGACCAGAGATAGGCGTCCACAGTTTGCTAAGATGACGGGTTTAATCAAGGAGAGGACCCGTGAAGGGAAGGCCTGATATCTGCAAGCATGGGCATCAGAGCTTAGGCGCTCTGCTTAGTGAAGCGGCTGTGTATGTGCTTCTAGGGCCTTGAGAAATAGCAAGTAGAGAATGAGGAGTGATAGTATTACGGTTTTCGGCAGAACGTTTGTCGAGAGATTAACTTCACTCGTCTCTTTGACGAGTTTGTAGCTTGGTGCGGCGAATGGCGAAATTCACTGATGATGCCGATTACGATGCCGGCGAAACGTTTGAGAATGTACCAAGTCCACTGTCTGATGCTGGGAATAATGACAACTACTATGGCAGACGACTTTAGACTAGGTGCGTTTTACTAAGTCTCCCTGAAAACAAGACCAAGTTACGACAATGAGGTCAACCCACTTCTATAAATCGAAAGGAGACTGAGACCATGACAGAGGCCACAACATCTTGGTCTTCAAATATTTTATTAAGTTTTTTTAGTTAAAACTTTGCTGAACTCGCAACTCCAAACCGCTTCAAAATTGTTTTGAAGATGAAATGGGCAAGCTTAAGCATCTGGAAACATAGTGGGAAGAAACTAAAGATAAAGTGATTGAAAGACTACGGATGGCACAGTACACAAAATGAGCTCATGAGAAAAAATATGAAGCTGAAATAAAAGACTAAAAAATTTAGATATATTCATTTATTGTATAAAATGCCATAAGATCAATTCATAGAGCGGAACAATTAGAATAAGATAATGTAGTAAAGCTTTAAATATGTACACATGAATATCTGGGAAAAATGAAGGAGAAACAAGATAATGAAACAAAGCAGAAATAGTGATGCAGACGTTAGTGAAATCAAAACAAAATATACAAGGAACCCGTAATTAAAAAAGAACAAAGCATCGAGAAAAGGTGAATGCTTTACCTTATGATTTTCGGCATGCATCCTTGTTCGTGATAAAGCGAACGAAATAAAGTTGCTGAATACATAATCTGGGATTGGGCATATGAACATGTTGGCATACATAAAGGCATAACGAGCGTAATCACTGAATGCATATTGCATATATACATATAAAGTTTGTGAAGTTCTGAATGCAAAAGATCTGAGAAATAAAGCAAAGTGAAGAGCTTTTATGTAGTAAAAATATACAAAAAGATGGAATCCAGAGCCAAAAAGTGAATCGAAAAGTTAATTGAATAACGGAAGTAAATACAATATCAAATAAAGAAACTGCTTGAAATGGCTTTTAAATAGCTTAATTCTTAAAAAATCTTAAAGAAATAAATCAATCACCATGCAAATATGAACTTCAAAAAATAGAGTGGAAAAATGGAATCAAACAGGCGTTTAACTAATTGATATACATAAAGATCCGAAACATAAATGTACCCAATATAGAGATAAGGAATTGTGATAGAAAAGGAATATCAAAGCGGATGGATAAAGTTTGAGAAGATGCTTACTAGCCAGGTTGAGTAATAGATGTCAATAACAAGCTAATGCCAAAAATGGGACCATTTGATTAAATGTCATCTGGTTCAACAAAAAAATGTAGGAAAAGCCCAAGTGACATTAAATATGAGTTCAAAGACTATGAAGTGTAACAAAAACACTCACAATCAATAATGTTAGTTGATATCAAAACATTCACATGAAAAAATTATTTTTATACTGACAGATTTGATAGCATAGATTTGGTGAAAAATGTAGATGCACTTATGTTTGCACCCTAAATCGTTTTACGCAAAGAATCGCACAAATATCGAGTGTGAGTAGGGTCATATATACAAAAAGTGGGAATGAGATTGAGTATGAAGCTTATAGATCCTCATCAATAATGGAAAATTCTATCAAGTGTAAATAAAAAATAAGAGAAAAAATGGGTTTCGAAGAATTCTTTAGTGATTTAATGCAGCATGATTTTCAATTTCGAGGAAAAGTTGATTAAAAGGAATTTATAAAATGGTCTGACAGGAGACCAAAATAGGATTGGCGGAAATTGAGCACTATTGGAATGTGCGTATAAGTACTCGGCTCAACCCATGAACACAGGGTCGCAGGACGTCTAACCGAGAAAATTTTGGCGAAATCCACGACAATCCTCCTTCCGTTTCCAGTGAGATCATTTTACGAATTCCTTCCAACCAACTTTTTCCTCTGAATGGAAAGTCATGTCACAATAAATAAAAAAGAATCAGCATTCTTCACTTGCGTGGCTATAAGGCTAAAATAGAGAAAATGAAATAACTTGTTTCAGAAGAAAGATCACTTAGTGCCGAGTGATTAAATGAAGTTACTCATGGTTGCTCTAATTAAAAATGTACTATTTGAAGAATTATAAGATCCGAAGGAACATTAGCAATTCAATTATTATAAATATAATTAAGTTTTTGTAGGCATCTTAACGATAAAGTTGATAATAACAATTATATTTAGACATTCAACTATCCTTTATTATAAGTCAGATTGCACATTACCTATACAGTTTCTACTTAACAGCACTTCATTAATCTAATAATCCTGAGGTGCTATTTTCAAACGAAGGTGGCGAAGAAAAGACAAAAACAAATGATAAAGATGCAAATATAAATGAAGTGTAGAGATAATCACAGGAAGAACGAGTTAGAGTAACGCCGTAGATGTTTAGTGGATGGTGCAAGGAAATGATCTATGAAAATTTTGAAAAAACTGCCTTCCTCGGCTATATATAGGATCAGAGCAATAGACGTGAAAAAAATAAACAAGATTGGCAAGAGTGAAAAAGAGAGATAGTAATGTACAATGTGCAATTTAGAAATACTCGTTATACAGAATATGTATTAATA